ACGGGTGATTTGGTGATGGGAAACCCGCGGGGATTACAATCGAGATGGAAAAAAAATTGTGCAAAATGATATAAAAATAAACTTTTGTAGTAATTAAGAATAAATAAATAAATAAAACTTGGAAAGTAAAAAAAAAGAAAAATTAAAGACAGTAAGTCACAGGTTACCTTTGGTAAATGTAAAGAACTATTATTCTAAAAATCTGATGACAAAAAGAAAAATATCAAGCATTTATCCTGTTTTTCCTTATAAACTCACTAGTCATACAAGGAATCAGTAAATAAGGTAAAGTTCTTTTCAGACATTTCTAGCTAATACATACAAAAGGATGGAGTTAGAATAACACCTGTCTGAAACCCTAAACTATATAATGGGGTCAATCTAAAGAGTATAAATGGATGTTCTGTTGGAAGAAAAGCTCACGGGCAATTTTATTAAGGAATACATCAAGTGGCGAGATGGGAAACCACTGACCAAGTTGAACATCACAAAGATGTGAAGACAACCAAGTTCTATATGCTCCCTAACATCACACTAAAGGAAATTCAAAACAATTACGCAGCTTTCCTGCTAATATTACAAAACTTCATCAGACTTCCTAATCAAATAATCAGATTACTGGAACTAGGAAGGACAAATAAATATTTTAAATTACCAGAATATGGATACTCCTACGCATCCTATTTACTCAGCAACAAAAAAAAATATAATCACCCCCTCCCCACCTATCCATACACAAAATAAAGGAAGAGATGAAAGGACTGAAGAGATGAGTCAATCAAATCAATCAAATATAGATTTTGGTTTCAAATTCAAACCAGTTCTTTAAAAATTGTAACAAAAATCAGAGTATGTGATGGCGTAAGGAGCTACCATTATGTTTTGAGGTGGCAGAATATTTTGGATGTGCTTCCTTAAAAGGACTGCTTATCTGGCCCTCCCTGGTGGTGCAGTGGGTTAAAGCACAGCACTAAGAAGCTAAAGTCACTTCCGCATGAGTTCGAGCCCCACCTGCCCGGGAGGTGACCACATCGTGCGGAAGACCTCTCCTGACCCGCCTGCTGCTCCCCTCAGCAGTGTACTTCGTCGATCTGCCTGTTCTGCTCCCCACTC